GCTGACCTGACCTGATGTCCATTCATCCCACCCTCTCACATTTTGGACTTTTATTCTTTCTCTTTCTAAGAGACCTGAACTGGGCAGACTGCAAAATAAAATCTCGGTGTTCTATTTATTTATTGTCTTCCTGTAAGACCTTTGGGTCAAGGCAGAGGCAGGAAACTAACTGGTGTGAGTCAAATGCCCCCTGAGTGACTGCCCCCCCAGCCCAGGCAAGAAGACCCCCTTCATGTGCCGGGCGCAGGGACTGTGTGTGCCCTACACAATGGTGCTATTCTGTGTCAAACACCTCTGTATTTTTTAAAACATCAATTGATATTAAAAAGAAAAAAAATTATTGGAAAGTACCTATTGTCCTGTGTTTTGTTCTTTATTTTCCATTAGTCTTTGATTCTGTAGGCGTGACCAAATGGCCTTTCTAAGGCCTTCTTCTGTTTACTCTTCAGCCAAGAGGGAGGAAACTGAAGCCACACTGCCTTGCCTGGTTTAGTGGTCTCACACAAACACAAACTTGCCCCTTTTTATAACCCTCGACACTGCTTGGACCTCGGTAGCGAGATGGGATCAGAGACAAGGTTTGGGAAGGGAGGCACAAAAGAGGGATGGCCTTGTTCTAGAGAGTAAATACTGAACATAACTTTGAGATCAGAAATCTCCAACAGATTAGTGCAAGAGAGGTGATGTTTTCCATACTCTGAGCTGAGAGGAGGGGACAATGTGTGAACTGCATCTTGCTGGATGGGAGAAATCACAGGTGCTCCCAAGGGAATGTAGTTGTGGGGGAGGGGAGAGGGCAGGGAGTGAAACTCACAGGTGCCGTTGATAAGTGCACAAAATCATACAATCTTGGTGATTTGTTTGTGTCTTTCTGTAAGACTTTTAAGGAGCCCTGTGACACAGTGGTTAAGAGCTCAGCTGCTAACAAAAAGGTTGGCAGTTCAAATCTACCAGCTGCTCCTTGGAAACCCTATGGGGCAGTTCGACTCTGTCCTGTAGGGTCACTATCAGTTGGAATTGACTTGATGGCAATGGGTTTGGTTTTGGTTCTAAGACTTTTAAAAGAGCCTTGGTGGCGCAGTGGTTAATTGGTTAAGTGCTCAGCAGTTTGAACACATGGAAAGATGTGGTAATCTGCTTCCATAAAGATTACAGCCTTGGAAACCCCATGGGGCAGTTCGACCCTGACCTATAGGGTCAGTATGAGTTGGAATTGACTTGATAGCAATGGACATAAGTCTTTTAGGGTAAGAAGAGGTGGGGGTGTTAAATACCTCCTCTCCCTCCCTTATTCCTCTGTCTTGCTCTGTCCCTCTGGCCCCATTCTTTACTTCCTGGGCCTGCACTTAGAGCTTGCATGGACTTCTTTGACAACTAGGCTTATGAATTGACACCTCCCATTTCTCCCTACTCTCAAGTGTCCCTTGCCTTCTAATGGCTTGGTATGAGTGGTAAAAGTGAGGAAGCGATCACCTTCTCCCCTGGAGGGGCGTGGTGGTGGTGATGTACAAGGTGGGCAAGAAAGACAAAACCAATCAGAATCAATGACAGTATTTTGTAAAATAAATTTCAAAAGCTATTTGGCACCGCTGATGAGCCAGAGAGCCCTCCCTTCCTCTGCCCCTTTCTCCCATTCCTGCCCTCTCCTGTCTCAGATGAAGGTTGATAGCTTTCCTATTAAAGAAATAATAGAAATAATGGGTTTGTTTTATGTATTAATACACAACTTATAAAGTAAATTCTCCTGAACCTAGTTCATGACAAGCTAAAGGAGTAAAGTGAAAACAGGATCATTAAAAACATATAATTAAGATAGTTATCTCATAATTTTAAATAAACAACCCTTCTACCTACCATGAGAGCTAATGAGGGCAAGGGGGAGAGCAGGTGAGGTATATGGATGTTTATGAAAACCTTTCCTTAGACAATAGTTTGAGCTGAGTCCCTGAGTCCAACCTGTCAATCAAACCAAAGGAGCCTACCTGCTTCAGGGCTCACTTTACTCCCCACAGTGGCATTGGCAATACTTAGTCTTAAAGTAGCTCAGTAGCTTGTGACCATCAGCTCAGACATTTGCAAGAGGTGTCCCATCTGTACCAGGATGGCAAGATGATTCCTCACAGCCCACTTCCTGGGTATCTAGTAAAACCTAGAAATAATAGCAACTGCTTCCTGTGTCACCAAGGAGTGGACAGAAGGAAGAGCTCCAGGGAAGAGAGGCAGTGAGCAGAAGGCCTATCCCAAATCTGCCTGCATCTGTGGTCACATCAAAATGCACCACTCTGGCCTACTGTGCTACGCTACTTACTGCTGCACTCATTCCAACCTAGCCCAGAGGGGAAGTGAGAATAATTTACTCATTCCCATTATCCCTGATGCCCCAGGAAGTCAAGTCTCTTCAGTCAGATAACCTCTCAGGACTGAGTGGACAGAACTGGCATACTAACTGTGAGGCCTCGGTTGGGTTACGTTTCCTCTTTTGACCCTTAGCTTCCTCATCTCTAAAAAGGTGATGATTCTCTGAAAGCTTTAGACTAGGAGTCAGGAGTCTGAGCTCCAGCTAAGATTCACTCTAAAGTCCACTGGATCCTGGATGAATCACAGGATAACTTCTGAAATAGTGTCCCCTTCTAAACAAGTGAAGGAACACAGAAAATCTTACAGGAGTGCTGTCAAGGTGATGAAGAATTGGAGAAAGTGACTTTCACTTACCAAAGCAAAGCATAAAGATTATTTTTCCCAGAAAAAATAATTGGGGCCCTGTAGATCTATGTAAACCTTTTAATAAATAGGCTGGTTCTTCTAACAATTTGCTTCACACTTGGGGCTAGAATCCCTAAAAGGACAGTGGACCCAAAGGAGATCTCAGGGCCCTAATTTGGGGTAACTGGGTGGTGCAAATGGTTAAGTGCTTGACTACTAGTTGAAAGGTTGGCAGTTCAAACCCACCTAAAGATGCCTCGGAAGACAGTCCTGGTCATCTGCTTCCAAAGGGCCACAGCCTTGAAAATCCTATGGAGAAGTTCTACTCTGTACACATGGAGTTGCCATGAGTTGGAATCAACTGGATGGCAACTAACAATGATGGGCTACAGAATAAATGGCAGAGGTAACTCGTGGCCTATACAGAGCCTGGTGAGTAAAAAAGGTTTGTGACAGTGTTTTAAACTTCTAGCTATGACTCTGGACAAAAGGCATCAGAAAATGCAATCCTTGGCAAACAGTAAACAAAAATCAAATCCACTGCCATTGAGTCAGTTCTGACTCATAGCGACCCTATAGGACAGAGCAGAATTGCCTCCATAGGATTTCCGAGGCTGTAGATCTTTACGGAAGCCGATTGCTACACCTTTCACCCTTGGAGCTGCTGGTGTGTTTGAACTGCTGATCTCTCGGTTAGCAGCCAAGGGCTTTAACCACTGCATCACCAGAGCTCCTTTTGGCATACAGTAGGTGCTCAATAAAACTGTTTTGGCATTAGTGAATGAACAAATGGAGATTTCTATATGCAGCAACTCTTCAACCAGGTGACCTGGTGTAAGTATTCCAAGAGCAAGAAAAAGGTAGAGAACTTGGTATAGGGAGAAGGTATGGGAGGCTGTAAAGCCAGAAAAAGATCACACTATATTATCAGGCCAGAAGCTAGAGAGAGAAGAATCTCCAGCAAGGCATCATCTCTAGGAAACACATTCCTTCCAAATTTTACTTTACTAGAAACATAATAGTGATGGCAATGACTGAGCCAATCAATTCCCCTTTCTATTCTGGTGTTGCTCGGAGCAAATTCCCAGCATTTGCTGAAGAATTGAGGGATACCATGATGAAACTATATGCAGCATCCCATAATGCAGTTTAGGATACTAAGAAAATACAAATAGGTATAAGAATTCGTAGCATGAGATCAAACTTGTTGTATGTTTAAAATTTAAGTGCCCTCATTTGAATATCATGGTGGAATTTTGAGAAACAAGAAATGTTACTGAGGCTTACAATCATAAAAAATGAGTCAAAACTGAAGTACCAACATGAGTAGCTTTTAAAAAAACACATGAAAAATATGCTACAGAGGCTACTTGGAAAATGGTAAAACTAAAGAAAAAATGTAGAAATGGGAACATCTCCATGTGTCTGTTTAGGGCAATGTTCTCAGAAATGGGGCACATTTGCTTTCCCACAAGTGGTGATGTTCTACCATCAATACATGTAACTTTCATCACTACCACATACGTTATGTCTTTAAATGATCCAGTATAATACTGAAGCCCAGTTTTCAAACCTTAGCTTTTGGGTTACTCATAGTTAATATCAACCAGTCATGAAACTCAGCCTTAGTTTGAAGATTCAGAATGTAAAAGTCATTAAGCAAATATTGAAAATCAAGCTATGGGAATGCGGACAAAGACTAATGCACAAACCTTGCCTCTACCTGCTGTTCTGTTGAGGTTTTCTGAGGCTACCAGTGTGTGGAAAGAGCTAGAGCCCACTTCAGCTGAGCTCTGAAAAATGACTACTTAAGCACCCCGACTACATTCTCTGTCCTCTTGGGGAGGCAGCCTATTTCTTGCTGGCTTGGTGAATGCAAGCAGTTCAACAAATTTTCAACCTCAAACCAGACTCTATTATTCAGGACTAAAGTCAGTTGGTAGGGGGAGAAAATCATTCAACCTCAACATCCTAAAAAGAAGTATTTGGTAATACCCTCCTTAGGAAAGCAGCTTATCACTCCTCAGGAATCTTTGCCCTGCATCTCCCAACCTCCAGAGGGCACTAGGTGCCCATTTTTGGAAAGCAATAGGGCAACCTGTTGCCGGGAGATAGATGAAGTCAGGCTGCTTTGGCAGGAGGCTGCTTTGTGATCAGCGCTGACAGGGACAGGGAGTACATGAGCATTCCGTCTTTTCTTCCCATCCTGCGTTGAACTGCTTAGCAGGCAACTATTCCACGGTCCCATCCACAGGTGCCTATTAAGACCCAGTCAATCAGAGAAGAAACAGCATCAAAGAAAAGCACGATTTATTTTTCTATCAAATCCCTAATCCATGCTCCAGCCAATGGATGAAGGGTAAATCAAGCCCCACACAAAGTCCTGGTAAAAACTTTTTTTTCTTGTTTTAAGCTCCTAGACATCTGGGAGCAGATGAAGATTCACGTATTGAATGTGCTTTATTTCTTCTGTTATGTATTCAAACGTTCCCTCCTTGCTGCCACTTCTGCCCAGATAGGGCACTAAACAGTTCTGCAGCTGTATTAATAGTCCTATCTCCATGTCACTCTATGGTTTGATACTAGGATCATGGGATCATTATAATGCTCCAAGAACAGCTGAAAAGATCTGAATTAATTCTTCGAACATTTATTGAGTGCCTACTACTTGCTGGGTACAAGAAGAGGCACCAGCAGTCGACTCTGCTGGTTCTAAGTAACATAAACGGTGCTGTAGGGAGTTTTCTTCCCAAGTGGTAGGAGATGTTTGCTGGGGGTTGAAAGAACAAGTTTCTCCTCTGCTTACACCACCTGGAATAGGTATGGAACTCAGACCCTAGGGACATATGCTGTGCTCTCTTCCAACAGGTGCTGCCATCTAAGAACCAAGAGCAGTTTCTAAGTAGCTGTGGCGTTTGCTCCACAATCCACATAGTGATGGGTCTCCAAGGAGCTCTGGGTCACGTGGCCAATGTAAGAGATCTTCACTGAAGTTCTAGGGAAAAGAAACCAAAAAGAATTCTGTTTCTGAGAGGAAATAAGCAAGAAAAATCACCCACTCAAGCAACAATACTCAGAGGTCCCAGACACCTATCTTCATGATTATATAACCAGGAGGCTAGAGGACATTTCAACATCCACAAAGATACTGTCATGAGGTGACCCTCTAAACCCGTGGTTCTCAACCAGGGGTGCTTTGGCTGCACAGGACACTTTTGGCAATGCCTGGAGATGTTTCTGGTTGTCACAACTGGGCAGGGGTGCAGAGTAGGAGGAGGGGAGTTTAATTGGTATCTAGTAGAGACCAGGAATGCTGCTGAACATCCTACAAAGCACAGGACAATCCCTCACAACAAGGAACTACTCAGTCCAAAATGTCAATAGTGCAGAAGTTGAGAAACCCCACTCTAAACCTTCATATTTCAAATGTCTGCAGCAGGTACTTGTCACCTGTGGATTTAACAGTCATGTGCCAGTAATAAGCCTAAAGGTCCACGACCCAGGGCAGTCTGTGTGGCTAGCACGCGGGAGCTGGACAGTCTGGCCAAATCCCAGTGTTTTCATCTGGAGAAAGCTTCTCTGTTCTGTACTGGTCCCATCAGGTTTCTAAAGGGATCACACCATTTTTTAAACTAGACCCTATTTTGTGGAGAAAACGACACGTTCTAATGTTCACTGTGTGAATCTGGGGATTGGCGAAGGTCTCTCCATACTGCATCTAGAGGACATCAAGGGTCTACTGTATCTCTGTCTGTAAAGCAGCAGGGTGCCTCCTCTTTGGCTAGATGCCTCTGCCCTGTGGGCCACACGGATCTCCTGAGCAGAGGCGGTGATCTCACAGAGCCTGATGGTCCAGGTCCAAACACAAAGCCCATCGAGACAGAAGAAGAGGGACGTACCGCATGAAGATCACTATGTTGTGCACCAGGATTTCAGGTAACGTGCAGAAGAAGCTAGCAAACAGCAAATATGGAAATGGTCAGATTGATAAAAAGGAGAATCAGCAGAAGGGTGCTGAGCTACACTGTCAAACCAAAAAGCAGTCAGTCCTGTTTGGGGTGCCCCTTTCCCTGACACCTGCCCCTCTGACCTAAGCACTGCCAAGGTTCATGAGTCCTTGGTCCCCACAAGTGTTGTGCTTGTCCTCCGACATTATACTTTTTTTAAAAAAAATAATGCATCATACAGGCTTCTAGTGCCTTAGAGTCCCTGGGTGGTACAAACGATTAATACGCTTGGCTGCTGAGAGGTTAGAAGTTCGAGTCCACCCAGAGACACCTTGGAAGAAAGGCCTGGTGATCTATTTTTGAAAAATCAGCCATTGAAAACTCTATGAAGCACAGTTCTACTCTGACACGAGGTTGCCATGAGTTACAGCTGACTCAGTGGTAACTGGTGGTGGTGGAATGTTCTCTTTTAGAAATTCCAGCACTTCAGTTACATATTAAAAGACACATCCTCCATAAAAATCTCAAAGCTAGGGAAGAGCAATAGGGCAGGGACTTAAGGTAGGACCAAGCCCCGATCAACTGGGTATGACTTTGAATCTCTTTAACTTGGTGAAGAGCACACATATAGAGAGCACTGTCCTTACTAGACATAGGAAAATGGTCCTCCCATCTCAGTATTTACAGTAAAATTCACCTGGAAAAAGACACCAGAGTCAGTTTTTGGCCAAGCAAGCTCGACATACAGCAGTACTATTATTAACAACTCAGACCCTGGATCATTCTCCCACCACACAAGAAATTTCCCCAGGATTTTCCCCGAGCCTGTAACAAATGCTTCCAACCTCTTCCCTTCTTCAAAAGGTCAACAGACATCAGATTACAACACTGCCTCTTCCTGATTTGTAGCAAATCTCTTTCTTAAAAATTCTTTTGCTCCCCAAATATTTATATGCTAGTTGGTGTTTTTCATAACTACAGAACCCTCTAGGTCTTCCTCATCAACTAGTTCCTTCAAGAGGAAATGAGGAGAAGAAGTGAAAGTAGCGAGGACACGGCATTCCCATGACCCTACTCTGCTCTTGAGCCTGTGGTACCAGGGTTTTAGCAGAACAGCATACCAGTTGCTCACTCCGAGGCGGAATGAGGGAGACATTAGTTGTCCCATATGTGCCAACCACTGTGTTCATGTACTGAACCTGGCTGGACAGGCTGGTCACTGCCACGGAGTAGAAGTTGGAGTTGCTGATTTTCAGGGTGGCCTGCATCAGGCAAGTGAGGACACAAGTGTAAGTCTCGTGAGTCCAAGACTTGGAAGATGCACAGCCCAGGGAGTGGAGGCCCAAAGTCTTACCGTGATGGCGAGGATTACCAGGGAGTCCTCCTTATTAAACAAGACTTTCATTACTTTGATGCCGTCATCATCCACAAGGACTGAATGTGGAAACAGGAAGAAAACCACCAAGCCGGATGCCAGGAGACACAGCAAGACGGACAAGAGGACATACTGCTTACTGCAAATGACACAGCACATGACTGATCTAGGTAGCCAGATATCAAAGTCCAGTCAGTCAAGATCAAGTGCAAAACCAGGTGTGAGGGGAGAGCAAAAGGAAAGCACAAAGAACCAGAAACCACAAACCAGGCAAGAATGACTGGAGTGGGACAGGGCTTTTAAAACCCATTTGAGTGATGTGTGCATTCTAGAAAAAAAACTTGAGAGGAGCTGTGTGGGCAGAAATATTTCCTCACCTCCCAGAACAGCCCTCTTCTCCAACCCAGTTCCTTCACGTGGCCCCCTCGGAATGTTCCTAGCTTCAAGTTCCCTTCCCCAGATTTTGACGGGGGCAGAGGTACCTTGCTTGAGCAAAAGTAATAAAGAAAATGGGGGAATTTACAAGAATAGACGCAGTTTTCAAAATGGTAACTGGTATCCATACATATAAAAAGGGACTAGGGACAGAAGTAGGTATTAAGAGGTAGGAGGCAGGTTCACTCACGTTCTCTGAGGTCGCAATCTCTGATCACTATGCGGGATCAAAGCCACCAACTCATTTACTTGCTCTAGAAAATAACCAAACAATTACTCTGTAAATCCCGTATGTTAGCAGTACTTTCCTTCACATCTCACATCAGCCTGCGACAACAAATACTCGTCTGGAATTAGACATTTCTAAAATACTAGTTTCACATTTGGGTACAATAAACAAGAAACAAGTAAATCTATAGAGTGCCACAAATTACAATATTCATCAGTGCTGCCAAGGCAGTAAACAGATGTTAGGAAATCTCGGATCTGTTCTGGCTTTACCATTTACCAGCTATAAGGTCTTAGAAAAGCTGAATTTCTCTAGGTCACTGTCTCATCTGTAAGATGAAGGCTTTGGAGTAAAAGGTTTCTAAGGTTCTTACTAGCTCTAAATCTCTGCTACTCTCTATCTAAACTGACTTTCTGAGGGCCAACTCAGTAACAAATGATCCTGCACTTAATCCACACTCCACATCTGCGCTTTTCCACCTTTGTTTCTCTCTCCCCACTTGACATATTTTTCAGACCTTCGGCTAGTAATCATTCAGTCTGTTTCCTCAAAAACAAGCTTCCAGGATGGTCCCCTATAAAACTGTGCCAGGCCTTACAAGTGAGAGCAATAGAGAAATTTGTCTGTCAACAAATCCGTAATGTAGAGTGAACTCAGTGTTCCAAACCATGGAAACAAACAACAAATTAAAGAAACAAAGGCTTTCAGATATAAGGAAACCAAGAGAAGTTGTGGAACCGGCCCAGGTTTATCAGGTCAGCTGGGCTGGCTCCTGTTCAGTTAGGCCAGTGACTATGGTGCCACTGCTGAGAACAAAAGCTCCGGACAGACAAGAGCACTCTTGTGGTTACTTGGGATTCTTGCTGGGAAACCATTGCTCCTCACCTGTTGGAAAGTAGCCAGTCCCTTGGCAGGTGAGACAGGTGATGCTATCTCGCCCTGTGAACTCCACATAAGGGAACTGCGCAATGGCTTCTTCCTGCTCTCGTTGGGCCCACATATCGTCCCTGTCATCTTCTTTCTTTCGCTTGCTGGAATGGGGACGAGCAGAGGCAGAATGCTGGGATCCCATGGCCGTGATGTGGCACCTGTATCATGTCCTAGGGTGCAAAGAGGCAAATGACTGCATGTTAGTGTCACTAACACAGGCCTCAAGAAATCATCTCTATTAGAGAAGTAAAAACACAAAAATGACCAGAACGCCGTCCTGAGTGTGACCTCAACACCGCAGGATTTCTACTGGGATCCTGATTTTGTAGCATTGCTCCCCAGTCCCCTCCCACCCTTACATACAGCCTGGGAAGCCGGCCACCTTCGCCAACCTGCCCAACTCCTCATAGCCCCAGGATTCAGAGTACCCTAGCTCCCACCTGGCCCAACCTCACCCCTTCCTCTCCCTATTATGCAAATTCTGTGCCCTCCAAAGGAAAGACTTCCTGGACAAACAACAGACACCAAATTAATAACAGGCCTTAGTGGCCCCCACCCCCCTCCACTCTCAGTCCCGCGAGGCGGGCTCAGGTCATGCCCCCTGGCAAAAAGAGACACTTCGAGCCCACCAGAACCGCTCAGGGCGGGACGAACGCCAGCATCCCCAGACCTGCAGCGTACGAAGTCTTGGCAGCCCCTCTCCTGACCGCTCCCAGCTACCAGCCCGATTCAGCCCGGCTACCTGGTCCTCCGTCCTCTGAGCTGGTCGTCCGTGATGCGCACGCGCCGAATAGCCGCGGCTCGGAGGACGCCGGCGTGCGCGCGCGCGCGTGCGCTCTTCACGGCTCCGGCGGTCTTCCCTGTCTCCTGGGAAGCTGCGCGTCCCCTCCGCACTGGTGGAGGAGAAGGTGGCAGAGAGCAGAGGAGAGCAGCGCGTCTCGGAGAACCGGGAGAGGGCCGTGAACCGCTGTTCCCCAGAAGGGCTTGGAAAAGCGAGGGTGGAGGAAGCAGCCGCTGGCCCTTCTGCCCCATGGTTGATGTTTGTCTTTCCCCTCCTCAGGGAAGATCATCTTTAGGATTGGGAGAAGACAAGTTGCTATCTATGAATGAAGCTGGGCGTTTAAAGTGGTCACAACCAACCCACTGAACCTTTAGAGTAAGAAGCAGTGAGACATTGTTCCTCCTCTTCCACCTCCAAGGCTGGCCCACATCTTCTCCTTCCAGAAATCTGTTCTTCATGTTTTCCCTTGCAAGCCCTATACCAGTTTGTATTCCTTATTTATACAAATCTGAATCTGTTGGGGGCAGCAATATGCTCAACTAAAGCCTCCCTTGCAGATAGGGGTGGCCGCGTGATACAGTTCTGGTCAATGACTTAAAAGCAGAAGTTGTTGAGTGGGGCTTCCAGGAAATCTCCTTAAAAGGAATGGAGACTCAACTAGTTCTTTGACCTTCTTCTTCTTCAGAGGCAAATTACCAATAGGCAAGGTAAGCATGGTGTTTACCTTGTTTACCAGATCATCTGTACTGAACAATTTCACATTTTTCACCGCATCAAAGATTCTGCTTCTAGGTATGACTGGCATCTGTCTCTCTCCCAACCCTACAGCACCTTCCTACGGAATCCGAGCCTCTTTTCAGTTTTACAATCCCCGACAGGGACGGATGACCCAGTAAGTAAGGTAAGCACAGGCTTAATTGTGCTTACTTACTAATCTGTAGTGAATAATTCCACATGGGTTTCACCATATCCTTGAAATGTGGTGTGAAATGTGAAATTGTGCACTACAGGTTAGTAACTAAGCACAAGTAAGCCCGTGCTTACCTTGCTTATTGGGTAATCTGCCCTTGCTCTTCTTCCTGCTATAGGGTGTCTGTGATGGTTAAGATTATGTGTCAAGTTGGATGGGCCATGATTCTCAGTGATCACTCCCATGGAATATGCTGTGTGTAGCCAGTCAGATGAAAGGGAGTTTCCTTGGGGGTATGGCCCGCATCTGAATATAAGCAGACGTTCTGGCTTTTTGCTCACTCCGGATCCTGCGGCTGCCTCCTGTCGTCTCATCTCCAGTTCTTGGGAGTTGAGCTGTCAGCTTATCTGCTGAACTTGGGATTTGTCGATCTTCACAGCCTGTGAGCAGAGCCCTGCTCTCCGACCTGCCAATCTTGGGTTCACCAGCCCCTGCAACTATGTGAATCAGGAGAAACCTTGCAGCCTTGCCTGCTGATCTTGGAATTCGTCAACCTTCACAGCTTGTGAGTGGGAGCCCTGCTCTCTGACCTGCCGATCTTGGGCTCACCAGCTTCTGTGGCTGTGTGAATTGGGAGAGGCCTCTACCCTGATCCACGGACTTGGGATGTTCTAGCCTCTACAGTCATGTGAGCTATTTCCTTGATATAAATCTCTCTATATCTATATCCATATTTATACACTTTACTAGTTTTGCTTGCCTAGAGAACCCAGCCTAAAACAGCCACTATGAGTTGGAATTGACTTGATGGCAACGGAATTCTTCTTCCTGCTTGGAATTTGGACTTGGTGATGGGACAGACATTTTGTGACCATGAGGCAAGGAGCACATGCTAAGGAAGGCTAGGTAGAGAGATCAAAGGATCCTGGGTCCCTGATGGCATTGTGGAACCACAATTAGGCCCTGGATTGCCTATCTTTTGATATCTCATTCCATGCAAAAAACAACCCCTCAAAATTGTTTAAGCCTGTTTTTTTGGCATCTCTTTCTCACAGAAGAGTCCCTGGATGGTGCAGATGTTTAATGCACTCGGCTACTAACTGAAATGTTGGAGGTTGGAATCCACTTAGAGGCACCTTGGAAGAAAGGCCTGGCGATCTACTTCCAAAAAATCAGCCATTGAAAACCCTATGGATAGGGCCTTAAAAGCTTGCATGTTTCCATCTAAGATACATCTATTGGTCCCATCCTGTCTGGAGCAAAGGAGAATGAAGAAACAAAAGACACAAGGAAAATATTAGTCCAAAGGACTGATGGACCACATGAACCACAGCCTCCACCAGCCTGAGCCCAGAAGAACTAGATGGTTCCTGGCTGCCCCCACCGACTGCTCTGACAGGATCACAATAGAGAGGCCTGGACAAAGCAGCAGAAAAATGTAGAACAAAATTCAAATAAAAAAAAGACCAGATTTACTGGTGTGACAGAAACTGGAGGAACCCCCGAGACTATGGCCCTGGGACATCCTGCTAACCCAGAAGGGAAGCCACTTTTGAAGCCCATTTTTCAGCGAAGATTAGACAGGCCTAGAAAACAAACAATAGCACGCGTGAGGAACGTGCTTCTTAGTTCAATCAAGTCTATGAGACCAAATGGGCAACTCTTGCCCAAAAGCAAGACAAGAAGGCAGGAAGGGACAGGAAAACTGGATGAATGGACACAGGGATCCTGGGGTGGAAATGGGGAGGGTGCTGTCACATTGCAGGGATTGCAACTGATGTCACAAAACAATATGTGTATAAATTTTTGAATGAGAAACCAACTTGAGCTGTAAACATTCACCTAAAGCACAATAAAATTAAAAACCAAAACAAGCAGACAAAAAAGAAAACCCTGTGGAACATAGTTCTACTCTGAGACACATGGGGTCGCCATAAATTGGAGTTGACTCCATGGCAACTGGGTTGGCTTCCTCACAGTGGGATGCCGTCCTGAAAGATACAGACACAGAGCTAGTAAAGGGGGAAGCCTAGGCTTTAACGCAAGCAGCCTGACTGCACAGTGGGCACTCTTAACCACACGCTATGGAGGCCACGCTTAGGTTTCTATCCTCTTCCAGCTTTAGCCCTCAGAGCACATGCCTGTATGGAGAGGAGAGGCCCCTTGTTGGTCTGAACCCTGTCTTCCAAGCTCAGCTTTTTCATCTGAGGGCCCACATGAAGTTGACCCAGGGAATGACCTCTGCTGAGAGTCCATCCTTCAGTCACTGGGGTGTTGCCTCACCCTGTGGCCTCCTGGACGCTGCCAGGACGGATGCAATAAACCTAATGGCTGACTAAAGGTGGGCATTGCAGTGAGTTGTCCAGGCTTCCAGAAGCAGGGAAAATGAGGAGGCAGCAGCCTGTTCCATGCCAAGTTATGCGGGAAGAAAGAGGGCCATGGATGCTTTGAAAAGGAAACAAGGCTAAGCGCTTGGCGTCTATGGTAAGGACGAGGAAGGGCTTGGGGCTAGTTGGGTACTGGAAAGGGGTCCTAGGGGCCTAACCAGCAGAACCTTTGAGACTCTCTGGCAATCTGCTTCCAAAGGTCTGTGTGTGAGACAGATAGTGTAGTCTCCAGCGTGGCCTCCATTCCTCCTTGTCTCCCCAGCACCCAGCACGACACCTGGTACATAGTTTAAAAAACAAAACAAAAAAACCAGTTGCCGTGGAGTTGATTCTGACTCATGGTGACCCCATATGTTAGAGTAGAACTGTGGAGCATAGGGTTTTTGGTGGCTGATTTTTCATAAGTAGGTTGCCAGGCTTTTCTTCTGAGGCGCCTCTGGGGTAGACTTGAACCTCCAACCTTTGGGTTAGCATCCAAGTGCGTTAACCATTTGCACTATCCATGGACTCCCTTGGTGCATAGTTGGCCCTCAATAAATGCTTGCAGAACGACTCAGCGGGGAAGCCGGCCAGCACGGCCTGGGGGAGTAGTCCCAGCATCCGCCTGAACCATCTGGGAGGCAGTTTTAAGTGGGCAGCACATTCCTGAGGAGACATCCATCACTTCTTACCTGAGACTCACTTCCAAGTTTGTCTCATCCTGGTTATGAGCAGGGAGTTTACTGCAGACATGAGCTCACTGGGGCTCTCAGGGTGGGCCGGGGCAGAGTGGGGCCAACTGAGAATCTCTGCCCCCGCTGGCTCAAGCGGATGCTGGGACTATTCCCCCAGGCTACTCCCCAGCCCCTCCCCCCAGTCTCATCAATTTCTCTACGTGCATTAGGTACCCCTGACCTCAGGCTGAGGGGAGCAGAGGCCGGAACAGGCTACTAGTCTGGAAAGGCCTTGGAAGGGAAGGGTTCAGGGATTACCTCCTCCCAGCTCTGCACCCCTCCCCCATTCATGCACAAGGACAAGAATAGACAGAAGAACTACATTAACCTCTCTTTGTTCTGACAGGGAAACTGAGAATTTAGACCTGGGAGTGCTGTTCATGGTCGTCATTCTGCAACCCCTCCTTTATTTATTCCAGAGCCCCAGGGTGGTACAAGTGGTTAACACGCTCGGCAGCTAACCGAAATATTAGAAGTTTGAGTCCACCCAGAGGCTTCTCAGAAGAAAGGCCTGGCGATCTACTTCCAAAAAGTCAGTCCCAGAAAATCCTATGGAGCACGGTCCTACTCTGACAACATATGGTGTCACTCTGAGTTGGAGTCGACTCATCGGCAGCTGGTTATTTATTCCCAAGTTGAGAAAGCTTGCTCCAGATTAAATGAGACCCAGCAAGTGAAAGAATCAGGACCAGAACCAGATCAGCTCTTTTCTTATTCAGTGCGCTTTCCAAAGAGGTCTGGTGACTTGCTTGGAAAGTAGAGACAGTCACAAGGTACACAGGTGGGGACACACAAATCATTTTATTTTCTATTATGTTATATTCTAATGTTAATTAGAGATCTCAGTGTGCAAAGTTCTGGCCCATGTGTTGCCCAAATAAAGAGAGACACTGGTCTCCCTTTCTGGAATTCTGGCTTCAGTTCTCTAACGGAAGGTGTAAAGGGAGAAGGGAACAAGA